CCTCCCAGGAAAAAAAATACTGGCAATTACGGGACTCCAGACCAAATTCCGAAGCATAAATTTTGTAAAGGAAGAGGAGTAGTAGGAGCGAAGAAGCAATCAAGAAAGAACGGTTCTTTAGCGGGTTTTGCTGTTGAGAACACGGTTGTAGTTGAATTGGCATATTTTTGGTATTTCCCATTACCTGTTCGATGAAATGCTTTAATGGATTGATCGCATCATAAGAAGAATACAGACTTGTAAAAATATTTATAGTGTACAGATTTTATAAAGGGTCTGTGGATTTTGTTTTGTGGGGTGGAGAGATACAATGGAGAACAGCAAAGAAGAGACTCAGCAGCACGTGTTTCTTGATCGTACCTCTCGGGTCACCAGAGGAAAACGGTATGTCAAGTGTATGTACTTTTTGAGGACTAATATTTTTTGTATGCTAAATAAAGTATGCACATACATGATTTGATTGAAATGAAAATGAACTGTTGAAATTACTTTGACAGCATGACAAAATTGCTTGATGAGGAGATTGATGAGGATGAGACCTTCTGGAATCAAGATGCTCTCAAAGAGGTGCTATGCCATTTCTTATTATTTGATTTTCTGTACCGTACCCATTCTTTCAATATCTTTCTCTTGTTTTATCTAATAAGGTACTGATAAATATTATAAATTGTAGTGACAATATTTGTGTTAGTTTACAAAGTCACCTATATAATTTGACAGCCGACAAAAAGAACGAAATGCAAATCAGTTGGATTGTTATGCTGAGAAAGTTTTAACTCAGTACAGACATAAATAGTTGCTATTTATGTTGAAGAGCTCACCCTGTCTTGTGGCCACATCACAAAATATTCTAGCAGAGCCAAGAAAAGATTTTCTTCTGTAAATGTATTTAAATTTATGTTTCAGTTTATCCGGTGTTCACTGTGTTGAGTTTTTCCCAGGAAGAGAATGATGTAGAATATGAAAAAGAAGCAGAGGTTGCTGATGTCTTTGATAGCGATTTTGATGAAGATGTAAGTTCAATGCTTCTGAGGTTTTGTTCTGATTCTTATGGTATATGCAGATAGTACTGCTGCTGAATGTATAGCTCCTTCTAACACCAATTTCATTTAAAATTTTACTTGACTTACATAGTTACTTCGATATGGTTTCAGGAACCTGAGGCAGACGAAGAAGCGGAGAACGAACCAGATGAGAGGTTTGACTTCTCTTCTTCAACCGGAATGGCCTTTTTAGATTGTTATGGCTTCATATGTGTTTCCTTTTCTGGAACAGGAGGACAAAAAAACGATTAATATTTCCAGGAAAACCATCAACAAAGAAGAAAAGGAAAGTACTGTCTAAGTTAGAAACATCACCACAAGATGACAAAACCCTGGAGCAGTCCACACCTTCTGAGCATCATGATGTTCCCGATGATGTTGAAGGAGAGCGAATAATTAGGAAATCAACTAGAACTTCCGTGATTGTTAGGCAAGCTGAAAGGGATGCAATACGTGCAGCGCTGCAAGCTACGATGAAGGTATGGTGATTGCTTTTCATTTATTTATGCCCCAGATAAAGCTGAGTAATGTCTTTTGATGTATATAATTGGACATATCTGTTGCATATAAGTTCTAGTTTGATAAATAAAAGGTAAGGGCCATGATTTCGACGCTTCTTCCAAAAGGTACATTAAGCCCCTGTTTGAACCACATTAAAATTTTCATTCACATTCTTCTATTCATTTTTAACCACATATTCTTCAATAAAATAATATTTTTCATCACATCAATAACTTTTTCTTCTTTTTCAACCACACATTCTCCATCAATCTACTATTCCAATTAGTCAATGAGTCTGTTTTTCATCTCTCCCAGAAAATCCTTTCCCTCTCACATTTATCCATCTCCACTTTCGCCGACAACTGCCATTTCCACAATTCAAAGCTTTCCATCTTTGCCTTCAGGGGAGATGGTAGATCCCGCCATATCCAAACACAATCACCCACCACCCAACCTAACCGGCCATCCCGTTGCCGATCACCAGCTCCACATCAGATGACCCAACCCTATCGGCCTCACGCCACAAATTTCCAGCCAATCGTCCGGAAACTCACGAGCCGCCGGAAACCCTAGCGTCACTACTGGGATCCGTGGTGGACTGAACGGCGCATCGACGACGAATGGTCGGAGGCTCACGACTCCTCTTTTCATGAAGGTAACACATTAATCATAGATCTAGTGTCCCAGGAACACTTATTGTCATAAGTGTAGGGTGGGCTTAGATGAGCCTCCAGCTAATGGAAAATATGTAGCGAACTTGAATTCTAAGGAATTACCATCGATAGGGGTCCGAACTACAGATAAGTAGGTGGTGGATAAGCCTAGAGGCGAATTTCAGACGAGAACTGAAGTGGTAAATTCTTTCGGTGATGGAAATAAGGTTGAGACGGAGGAAACAGATAGGGGTGAAATAGATTCAATGATTGAGGCGTATCAAGAGACGGAACCTCAGGTTGAGGTAGGGGAGTCGGGTACTACGAATCTGAATTCGGAGTTATTGGAAGCGATCAATTGTCCTACAAATAATGGTGTGTTGGACACGATTCCATCTGTAAAGGGATTATTGTTGAATAGTGAGCAAGAAAACAGAATTGTAGTGTGTGATAGATAAGCATTGGCAATTGAGAAACAGTAAGGGCCGATAGGCTCAGCAACTGGGGTGGTGAACACCTACTGTAGGAGATATTCTAAGTCTTCGAAGGAAGGGGATCCATGGAATGATGATGCTTTGGTAGTGTGGGTTGGAGGAGCTAAGAATGGGGATACAGACAGTGATGTTGTACGGATGGAGGAAGAGGAGGGACGCTACTATGATCCCATTTATGCTGAGGAGATGGTGTTTCAATCACGTGGACTGCTATCTGTTCGACCATCGAGTTGGGTCCTTCAAAAAATTTTGGATTTTCAGCAAGATGGTAGAAGTGTCATGTGATGGGTACAGTGGTTAGAGGACAGGTGTTAACAGTAGATAACCTTCGGACAAGGGGTTTTTATGTTTTAGAGTGGTACTATATGTGTAAGAGGGATGGAGAGACAATTGATCACTTATTTCTTCATTGTGATGCTACTCGTTTACTGTGGAACGATATTTTGATGTCGCGGCGTATAGATTGGGTGTTGCCGAGGCGTATAAAGAACATGTTAAAGGTATAGAGGAGAAAGTTTTGAGATAAAGACAGCAAACTTGTATGGGACCTTATTCTGGGTTGCATCGTATGGTGTATGTAGAGAGAGAGAAACGGACGCTGTTTTGAAGATCAAATACGGACAACAGAGCAGTTTAGGGAATTGTTTTATTTGACTTTGTATACTTGGTTTAATGTTGCGGCTACTAGGCATATAAATGAACTGTTTAATTTCATGTTGTTACTTTCCTGTGAATCGGTGTCCAAACCTTTAACCATATATGCCTAGTTGATATTACCCTGTACAGTTGATAAAATAAGAAATATATGGTATGAAAAATAGTTCAAAGCTTCACTGCACCTTAAGCAACACCACTGAGATTTACACTTAAGTTGGACACTCATTTTATTCTTTGATATTTATCTTGATCGTCCTTTGTGCTTTGAGAATGTTTTTCCTCAGGTATTTACTCTCCCTTTTCAATTATACTATTACTGATTTATTTTTTACTATCAAAAAACAATTCAAGTAAATAAATTTTCTAGATAGTGAATTAACTTCTTTTTCACCTTATTCTACCCACACTGTGTAAAGTATGGTAAGAAATTCATAAAAATGTTGCAAATGCTGTGTGGATAATTCGAGTTAAATAATAAAAAACACTCCGAAGAGCTAATAAAAGAAACACTGTAAAGTTTAAACAATCTTAATCTGTGGACCTCATAGAATTGATATAGGATTGACCTTCCCCTTCAAGAAATAAATGAACTTGTTTACAAGTCTTATTCTTTCACCCATAGTTCCAGTCCTTTTTTGGTAGCCTACAACATTCTTGCTAATGCTATAACCTGTGAATGTATTGCCATCATCAATGTTGCATCATTGTACTTCTGAAATATGTTTACAGGCGGCATAAATGTGATACACACTGTTGTAACATCTGTCTGACACTTAGACTTTGTTCAACCAAAATCAGACTCGAGATTTTGTGTACTGAAAACATATAGAAATGTTTATCTCTGTTCTCATTATGATCTAGCATAGCTACCATCTACTTTAATCTTTTTGACATTATTAATTGGTTTCAGTAACAGCACTTCATTAATTTGTATCTCGTCGAGTTTATTCACTTAATTAGCAATTTATCTACTTTTTGGGAACTTTTAACATTACACTACAAGCATCTGTAAAGAAGTGAAGAAGAAATACTGATATGCAGTAATCTGGCCCAATATTTACATCTTTTCAATTGTCAGCCAATAAAAAGGAAAAAGGAAGGTGAGGAGAAGAGGATGACCCAAGAAGAGATGCTTCTAGAAGCAGCTCAAACAGGTTCTGCCCATGACATTTATCTATAAGATGGTCTTTAGTTTGTGCACATATGTTTGGATGTTTTAATTATTAGCTTGCTTGATTGCCTCATTAGTGACCCTTTAATTATAACTGAATATCGTGAAAATCTTATGCAGAAATTATGAATTTGAGAAACTTGGAACGGGTGTTAGCAAGAGAGGAAGAAGTTAAGAAAAGAGCCGTAGTGCACAAAGCAGTTTACAGTGGCCCCCAGATACGATATCTTTCTAGAAGTGGCAAGCCTTCTCTCTTCACTTGAAACCTCTAAAAGTTTTTGTCCCACAGGACAATAGTGCCTTCGATGACATTTCATTTCTTATTCAAAATTATCTTTGGAACATATGAAATGAATTTGCTTGTTCATTACAGGTTATACTTATCTAGAACTTCTGAATGGAGCATCATTTGGTTCAGAGGTCTCGACAAAAGCTAGAGGTACATACAAAATACAAGAATAAAAGGTATGACAGTATGAAAAGGAATTTGTACATTGAACCATAGTACCATGAACCAATAATCAGTGACATATCCTGGTATCCACAATTCTTAGTGTAAAATTTACTATCGACTTATATGTAACGTGAACGTAAGTTCATCTGCTTGTATCTCTAAACATTCCTTAAACGTTATATAAACCTGGTAAGTTTCGATTATCTGTTGTTTCTGTATTGTTTACTTTTCAAATATAAACCCTCTCTCTTGCACTGGCTATCAGCAATATGGAATACAAAAACCAGGTTCTCTTATCATCTGTACTATGTATCTGATCTACAGTTTTCTTGCCAAAGTTGAATGCATTGTTCTGTGATTTTCTTTAGCCAGGATCGGTAATAGAAACCTACTGATCATATTCATTTTGTTCTACTTTATCTTTGAATGGATTGCCACGAAGGGATACCTTGTTCTTTTTGGTTTTTTTCTCTCGAGTATCTACAAAGTAACTATGAAATGTTCTTAATGTGAAATAGTTTAAATAAAGGAAAAAGAAGGTTTTGTGTGCTGTTCCTGATCCTAGTGCTCCTGATTCTTACGAGACTGATTTTACCTATTTTCATATTTTCAGATCCACAGAAGGCTCTGTGTGCAGTTACTGGGCTGCCTGCAAAGTAAGATTTTGAGTTTCTGTACCGACTAACTACTGCTTATGTTTTAACAATTTCTTAACATTAGCCACTGTTTGCTATTTTTTCTTACTTTTTGAAGAGCTTATATCTTAAATTAAATCTCTTAGCATGTACTTTTTGTCTCTGCTAAACGACTTTTCTCTCACTGCCCCTTCATTTGTTTTATACTGAATTTATAGTGGTACTACGGCATATTATTTCATCGGTGAATCAAGTGCAAGTTGAATTGTTTTTGTTGAAAGTACAAGGCATGTAAACTGTCTGAGTCTGTATACCTGTCCTACAATTTTGACGTCATATTTCCATGTTGTCTGGCAAGTCTCTATATGCTTATTTTATTATCTGTGCTGTAATTAGGTATTAAATGCACGTAAAGTATGTTATTCTGATATTGTTTCTGTAATGTGGTGTATTGCAGCTACCGCGATCCAATGACTGGATTACCTTATGCAACGAAAGAAGCATTCAAGATCATCCGTGAAAGGTGAGTGTTGATTTGCCCTTTTATGAGTGTCTCTACATTGGTCGGCCCAAGGCACCCATGTAGTAGGTTGCACGTTGAGATTTCATTTAACTCGTGCCATTAACATAAACACATGCAGATAACAATCAGATAAATAAGAGCAAGCTAAATGATTAACATAATAAAGATTTCCTAAACCTGATTTATTTCTCAATATAATTTAAAAATAATTGAGTCGTTACAGAAGCTGTTGCCCTTGCCTGAGAGTTCATGATACCTGGAAGTGCAGCTGTAGTAGAAAACCTTGAAGCAGAAGTTGGTTAAGCATGATATAATCAGACACTGGTTGTTGGGATGTGATGAATTTGCTCTATCTGGACATGAAATTGAGCATGTTTGGCTAAGCTTACTTATAAGTAAATTTTGAACCCAAACATGTGAGTCTATTCCAAGCATTTATGTACATACGTCAATACGAAGATTTAGGCTCTTTTGTATAGGATTAATAGGTGGTGCTATTTTTACCAGGTTCAATGTCCTGTTTTACTACTGCTTTCATGTGACCAGTATGTGTGTGTATTAATCCTGCAGTTTCTTTGCTGATTTTGCAGATTTGCGGAAGAAAGTAGCATTGTTAATAAAGAAAGCGGCATGGGGCTACTGTCTGATGCAACATTTGGGCAAGGATTCTCTCAAAAGAGAAAGAGGACAATAATTCCGCGTAATAAGGATGCATCTTATTTTGAACGCTTAGCGTGTTTCCGAAGAGTTCCTGCTGTTGAAATAGAAGACTCAGAGTAACAGCCACATTGCTATTAGTTTTTTTCATTTGTATTGCTATTAGTTTTTTTCATTTGTATTATCAGTTTGGACATGTTTTGGAAATTGGCTCGACGTATATGATATACATTTTTAGCCATTCTGGACGTTACATGCTATCATATTTTTGTATCCATTTTGTTGGTTGTACAGAGGAAATCCTGATGTTTTACAGATGTTGTTATGGTTGGTTACTCTCTCTCTCTTGCCTTTGTCAAATGAAAAACTGCCAACTGTATCTGTAAATATTTAGCAGTTCTTTATCATGTACATGCAACATTGTCCTTTTTGTATTATCAAAATAGTGCATAGTCAAACAACCATTATAAACAGCATTTTTAAAGAGGATTTTTCTAAATGTACTGTTTTTTATTTTAACAGAATTAATACAAGGAAACTGTCTCCCGGTGATTGGCTGTTGCCAAAAACTATTTTGGCAACTGTTAAAATGATCCTGTACGTGTAGCAAAGTTCTTCTACAGAAATAACTTAATAAAATTTCATTGTTTTGTCAAAAAGGAAAATGTTCGCTAATTTTTTTACAATTTCAAGGTGACAAGTACATTACATAAACAAAATACGGAAAGGATTGAAAGTATTGTGAAATAATAGATAATTATTGATGATTATTTTAATTTTGTCCTAATTTTACCTAATCGAGATGTCTTACCTTGTTCATTTTTAAAACAGTCCAATGATGGACTGTATTTAAAATAGTCAAATGATGGAATGTCATGTGGCATTATGTTAAGTATTATTTTCAAGGCATTGACTCTATAACATGATTCTTTTAGGCAATTCTACTTTACCAAAAGTCAGGGAGTCATTATCAACCATTGATATATGTTATAGTTTTTTTCTTTTGTATCTATGTATTTGGTCATGTAAGGTTTGCGAGCCAAGCGAGATAGCTTGTTGTCAAGCTCATCAGCTCGTGTGCAAGCAAACTCGCCAACAATTTGTCAAATTGAAAAAAATATACAATTTTTAATTAAAAATAAATAAAAATATGATGATCCACAATTAGCTCATTCGCCACCAAGAGGTGAGCTTGTGGGAAGAGACAAGCAACACTTTTGTTAGAAGAGTCGAGTCAAGCGGCTTGACTTGCCCTATTTAACACCCTACACGTATGTATCGCGTCTATCGATTTCTAGCCATAAGTTACCTAATATTATTATAATTATGTGAAATCTACTTAATATGCATGCATTGTACACAATTTATATATGATTGCAATGACCTATTATTATAAAAATAAATATAACTTCTTATGTAAAAATACGTTGTTGGCTATGATTTAACTATTGTATGTGGAACTTTTTCAATGTACATGTTATGTGATTTCTATAGCAAATATACGATATCATTAACAAATAATAAAGTAGATCTAACAGTTAATAATAATATGCTTTCTCTTTGGTGTAATTCCATTCCAGTTACTTGGGATTGTAGGTCTATTTTTTGTTCATAGCATGGGACATCAGAGGAGAGAAAAGGTACTAGAAGTTTTGAATTTCTAAAAAGTAAGAAGTACCTTAATTTTTACTTTTATCAACAAAATTTTTTATTCATTTTAGAACTTATTTACTTAACCACCGTTTGATTCACATTATTTTTTTCATTCTTATTCTTCTAATCATTTTCAACCACACATTTTTCAATAAAATAATATTTTCCATGGCATCAATAAATTTTCCTTATTTTTCAACCATATATTCTCTATCACATCACTTCAAAAAAATGCATTCTCTCATTTTAATGTGTACCAAACGGGCTCTTATGTGGTTCTTCAATGTCATATAGTTTTTTTCATAATTTCGGGAAGGAGAACTTTGATTCATAATAAATGGATGCGTGTATGTATAGAAATAGATTTGGAATACATGTTCACACCAGCACGGTGTGAATTTTATATTCTGCAACATGTCACTTATATGTCTTTCCTTTCACATTTAATTGTTAGCGTCGTGTTAATCCGTTTTCAGTTTCTGCAAGATGTTTTATCCAAATTATGTAGTCAGCTGTACTGATATTGCTTAAAGAAATACTTGCTATAACTATGGTATTTAATTCATTGAAGAATAGAGACTTATCCAATATATTGGCAAGTTTGGCTTCTCTACCCCTTACCCTCTTTCTAGCTAACATTANACAAGTAAATATGACAAGTGAAAGATATGAATCGATTAATCTCGATTCAATGTTTGTACCAATTGAATTAAGTTCTTAACTTCTTATAGTTGTTGGTTTATTCTTATCTTGTGTAATTTGACGGATGAACACTCACAATATATTTCAGATACAAGATTAGATGGGATTGGAGTAAGTTGAGAAAGTCATGTGTGATTTCGTCTAAAGTTAGAGTTTGTTTGGGAGAGATTTTTGGGGGAAGAATTGATTTTGAATTGTGATATGATGGGAAATGTGTTGTTGAAAAAGAAGAAAAAATTATTAATGTGATGGAAAATATTATTCTATTGAATAATGTGTGGTTGAAAATGAGAATTGATTTACTGTAGAAAAATCTAAATCCCTCCCAAATAGAGCCTTAATGTGTTTGAATAATAAATCTAATAGGTCGACTCACATAAAATTTAGTCTATGTTGGATCCTCTTTTTCTAAAATTCATTTCCAATCACATTCACAAATTTTATCATTTTTTATCAAAATTTATTAAAAAAATAATTTTTATATAAACAAACAGGGGGGTTAATATTCAAAATGTTTTTTTATGTATTATTCTATGCAATTCAACAATCAAATTTGACTACTCATGAGAGCCTGATCGGTTAATTTTGAAAAATAAAAGACAAAAGTTAATTTCAGAAATGGAACAAAGCCCTTGCTTGAACTCAATTATTTGGTAAAGAAGGCATTTTGCAATTGCAGATAAATTGAGAATATGTGGTTAAGAAAAAAAGAAAAAAAATTAGATTTACTTATAATATTATCTTATTAAAAAATATATGGTTGAAAATAAAAAGAGAAAAATATATTTTAAAAATAATGAAGATCAAACAAAGTCAAAATACATACAAACTCGTCAGCAATATTGACATATCCATGGATTTGGTCAATCTACGACCTTGATCTAGATTGTACTCTTACGGGAGTAATTTAGATGTGTTAAATGAGACATGATTTCATAAAGGAAATACTCCAGCGGGTCGGAAGATGGGAGGGAAGGAGGGGACACTATCTTCCATTGTTTACAGGTCCTTCTGGTTGACTTGGGATTTCGTAGAAAATCGTAAAGGTTATAAACACCGCACAAAGAGTGGGAATCTCCGTCCTATGCATTGCGGGTCATTTAATTTTGAGAGAAGTTATATTCGAAACACTAATTTTCAATTTGGTACAATTAGGTCACTCAACTTTCATTTTCTCTTAGATTTTTTCATTCGTATTCTATTTGGTCAATTAGGTACCCAACTTCAATTTACTTACAAATCTGACTTTGTCAACTTTTGCCAATTGATTTGTAAGAAAATTAAAATTGAATGTCTAATTGTATCAAATTAAAGATGAGTGGTTAGAAAGCAACTCCGAACAAAGTTAGAGTCAAATGACGTTACCATTTCAATTAAACGGCCAACAATCTATGTCTCGCTTACCCAAAAGGCCAAAACAGAAGGAAAAACATAAAAAGAGAAAATTGCAAAAGAAATGATTTTCAAGTAAAATTTAAGAAAAAAATAAAAAAAAAAAGGAAAAAAATCCCAATCCAACGTCTCCACCCTTTGAGATGGAGCCTAATAACGACATCCGTGGGCTGAGCTCTTACTATCACCACTCACAGCTCCACCACCAAACCACCACTCTACCATCACCACCCCACTCCGCCGCTGCCATCGTCGCCACAAATTCCTTCCCCATAAATGCAGTTGTACCCAACAGTGCAACAACCAACAACAGCGGCTACCCACGCACCGTTCCTTCAGCGGTATCGTCGCCTCTGGAGACCGTGAAGAGAAAGAGGGGAAGGCCAAGAAAGTACGGGACCCCCGAGCAAGCCGCTGCTGCTAAGCGACTCTCCAGCTCGGCTTCTTCGGTGGCTTCCCCCAAGAAAAGGGGCCAGGGTTTGGCGGTGGCTGACACTATTGGCTCTTCGTCTTATTCTTCCAAGAAATCCCAGTTGGCTGCATTTGGTAACTCATCGTTTCTCTATGTGTGCATGTCTACAGGTTTTGTATATATAAAGATGAATTCTTTGGGGCCTGCTTTGGAGTTCTGTGTGCAGGTTATTTAAAGTACTGGTTTGGATGTTTAGGCGACTAAGGTTTTGGGTGATTTTTTTTTTTTTTTAGTAGAAGTCTTGCTCGGGAGTTTACTGTTCAGCGGTTCTAAGCCCATGTTCGAATTAAAATCTGATTTTAATTCAAGTCAAAGTTAAACCATCAATATTAACCCCACTTTCCATGGTCGCACTACTTTTCAATCACACATTTTAAAAACTTTTATTATAATTTACTAAAAATCTAATTTTAATCTCCACCAAACACCCTCTAAAATTTCTTTAAAGGATAAAATTATGTGTCAATTTATAAAAAAAATAGATCCGTGTAAACAATTTGCGGCAAATGTGTAAAGAGTGAAATTTTTAATTTATTGTTTGATTTTTTTTTAATTCATAGTAATTTTTTTAACTTAAATAAATTCTACGGATATAAATTAATTTTGTGCTTATAAGTAATTTTTTACACGTGTGAATTTTTTACTTATTACTTTTGTATTTATAATAAGTGAATATTTGCTATTTTTTATTTTATAAGCATTTTTTTTAATTTTTGTCTTATAAGTGATTTTTTTACTTATAGGTAAAGTTACAAAGTAATTGTTTTTGCTTGTTAGTAAATTTTTAATTTTTTCTTTATTTTCTTTATGGATAATTTGTATAACAATTGCTTTAGAGGGGTTAAAATTAGAGAAAATTTGAAAAATGGCTAAAAATAACCAATTCAATGTGTTGGAAAATACGGTCCAAATTAAACTACACTGGTTTTAGTTGGACCATTGGCCTAAAAAACTAACAAGCACGGTTATTCCCAACGTCTCGTAAACGTTGCCATCCAAAGAGGGTCAAAACCCATGGAAAAAAACTCCCAAGTTGGCCCTTAACTTCAAGAGTAATGTTATTCATCTCCAGAAGGGTTACAAATACAGTCTAGGTGGCTCTAAATGATATGTTAAATGAAAGGTGAAATTAAATGACTTATTTAATTTCACCTATCATTTAATGCCACATTAACGCCACCTAAACTGTGTTTGTAATCCCAGTGGAGATGAATAGCATTACTCTAACTTCAAATAGTATGTTGTTGCATTTCCATCGTTCTTTCATTTTTGGGTTTCTATTGTTTATTGGTAATTCTTTAGGTTGTCTCTTTTTGCTTTTTCCTGTGATTTACCATTCACAGTTCTTTTTGGCTGATTGAATTTCTGTTTTCTTGAGGATGTTTCAAATATTTCTTGAATCTGTTGTCATAGTAGTGAATTTGCTAATAAATGATGATCTTAGGGAGTATAAATGAGCTACTAGGAGTTCATGATGCTTTTTATTGTGAGGTTATGACTGCATGTCTACTATCATTGTAAAATTTATTCTGATGCAGCAGGCCTAGCACCCGTCGTGTCATTTAAAACATAATTTATATTCTTGTTCGAGACTGTATCGGGTTCCCCGGTTCGGAGATAAAAATCCTACTCTTAAAATGCAGTGAAGTAAACTGAGTTAACTAAAAAGAGAGTTTTATTAACCTTTCTTAGAATTAGAAATGTGTTTTTTTACCATCAACTATTTACAGATATCCATGAAATTTTAACACATCATTACGAAATGATGTTAGGATTCTGGGAAGGTAGTCAAGAAATGAGAACTGCAGCTGAAGCCCCAACCGCGTGTGTAAAATTGCCTAAAGTTTGAGCAGCCATAACTTTGCACTCAGTTATTGCCTCACGACGTGCGGCCTATCAAATCGAGGCTTTATTCAATTTGACTAAACTAGTTTGTGAATAAATTCCACTTGGTCAAAGCATGGAAAGATTATTTAACACGAACTAATTGCTACTAGGCCTCAACTTGTCTTGCAAGTTTATTAGTAAATGACATCGGTTAATCTTAGTCCTGATTGGGACATGGTTTTACAAGATGAATTTGGTGAATGTTTCCATAAATATCTTTTCGAGCTTGGATGAATTTGAGTGTTCAATAATTCAATTGAAGTAATAAAGTAAGAGTTTACTGAATAATCATATATGTGGTTGGATCACAATTTGATTATTCTACCAGAGAAGATTGAAGACAAAACCTAAGGGGAAAAGATGTAATCAGAGGGGTAAAATAATCATTTGACACCTAGCTTCATTTACGGACATTCACACAAGTAACTTCCTTATTTTGTAATTGGATCGACGAGCTTCTTTATTTAAACTTGTAATTTAAGAGTGAAAATTTGGGCCTTTAGTGAACTGACCTAAAACTAATTGAACTCAGTTGACATGAGTGGATTGAGTCTGGTTTAGATTATTGAAGCTTGATTTACAACTATGAGTCCCTGGATGGCTCCCTTTAATTAAGAGTGGTCTGGATATTTTATCCAACTAGGATTACACACGAGATTTTACTAGATTGAGCTTAATGGAACTAGGGTTTTAAGAAGCTCTCAAGTGTTAATGCCATGATAGGGAGCGATTGCACCAACTACATAACACACAACAGCTGCAGGCATGCACCAACAATCAGTGTGTGCGCTCCTATCCAGTCTTAGGCTTAGTCAAGAAGGTGGCCACCTACCCGTGTAGCTGCCTTTGGAAGATCTAAATGTCAGAGGTGTGTAGTCGTGTATGATTGAGAGAGACACCTTCAATTGCTCAAGAAATTTCTAATCTATTTGTACTCGATTTATTCAGTTATAATAAGCTACGTGGGATTTAACGAGATGCTACATATGTATTTATTTTTTATTTTTTGAAAACCTATCCTTCTGCTTTTACAAATCTCTCGGGTCTTTGAAGGCAACAGTGCTGAGCCTGGTCTACAGCTCACCACGTGCTGAAGAAAATTGGTCAATGCCAGCCCTTCACGGGCCACTTGGTACTTCTAGATGTAATATGATTTAATGTTCTCTACTCTTGTGATTCTTTTTCTCTCTTGTCAAATGCCCTTTTATAACAAAAACTCATAGTATTTATAACCTCTCTACATCTTTGTTGTTATCAGTTTTACATTGTGCATTCATAGTTGCTTGTCTTATCAATGCAATTATAGAGTTTCAGATAATAACTTTGCTGTTCTGGTGCACAATTTTCCGGAGTTACCTCAAACAAGTTAGAATTCATCTTATTTCCTTTTACTTCAAGCTATGCTAGTTACTAAAATATAGTGAGTTCTTATTTATGCTTAGTAGGATTAGCCCACATATGCTGTTTTCTAATTAATTTGGTTTATGCGATTCTGCTCTTTCATGTTTTCCTGAAAAGGGCATTATGCTCATGTGGAAGCTGCTCAATTTTACCTTTCCCTCTGCAAGAGTTAGAATAGAGTTCCAACTAAAAATAACATGCTGTAACGTTAATTACATAAGTTCCAATTAGGTTTTAAAGTGTCTAGATGTGCGGCATATTTGCCATTTTTCTTACAATTTTTTAACATATTTTCCTCAAGAAATACTGATGTCATATTCAACTATGTTTTATCACACCTCGAGTTCTCAGCATGTAATGCTTAAGAGCTACAAAATTTATTTAATCCCCGATGCAAAGTAAAATGATAAGGTACAATAGAAGGGGATATAAAAGGAAAGTGTGAGCACTGTAGAGCTATGTTTGACTAAAGAAGACAAATTAGATTCTTGTTCAGTCCTGGTGGTCACCTACTCAAAGGAAATAAAGAAAATACTCAAGGAACTTTGTGCTTCCAAAATCTACTCTAATCGGGGAAGTTTGACTTAGAACCCATGCAATACACACGAGGAGATTTACTTGCAACTTTTTTTACTTATATCATGACTGCTGCTTTTGCTTTTTCAGTCATCCATTGCTTCTGGTAGTTTGGATTTTTTCATGCCCATCTTCTTTTTTTACAAACATGTTCGACGTCGAAATGCTTATTATTCAATTATATCTTCTCTTTAGCATATTATTATCTTCAAACTTGACTTCTAAGTGGAAATAATAAAAGTTTCTCTTTCTTTCTACTTTGGTGATGCAGGCATTGTTGGCCAAGGCTTCACACCTCACATCATCTCCGTGGCAGCCGGAGAAGTACTATTTTGCATAACCATAAAACATTCCTTGCATTTTACTATGTTTTAAATGAAAAATTATCCTCTCTTCATATAGTTTTTGGTGTTCTTTTGTTGTGAAAGTAACATTTTTATGCTTAAGATACAGTAATTATCTACCTTTACAATCCTTTGTCGTGGATGAGTAACTGGTGTTTAAATGAAATTATGTATTTAAAATAAGCACACCAATTAACCTAAAATCATTCTGCAATGGAAGGAATATTTGGATATGTAATTAGATATATCCCATAAAAAATGCATGTTCCATAATCTTATCTAAGTTTCAAGTGTATGAAAAGGTACTGGAATGTCTTTAGAAGTGTCCTTGTGGCTTAACTAGTTCATATAGTTTTGTGACTATTGTTACTTACTCGTGCTTCGTTCACAACATCATATTCTTAATTTCTGCAAGACTTGCTTTGTTCTTCTGTTTCTTCGGTTTTCTTTACTTTCACACAGGATTCCTGTTCTTTTTAATTAGCTGAAAGCTTCTGTTGTACAGTTTACAATTTTATTACATCTGTGCAGAGAACAAATTTGACCCTGACCCTAGCTTTATTTCTATCAGAATGCGCACTAGACTGCAATTTGTTCATTAGATGTCTTTGTATACTCTTATCTATGGTGACATAATAAAGGACTTGTCCTTGCACTCTTGTGATGAAAAGGCCCAAGTAATGCAAATATCACATTGTGTGGATGTGGCACCACGAGGATGAATTAAGGACAGACTTGGACAGTAAGGACATCCAAAAAGCTCATATTTACAATAACGGTGAAATCTAGTGGGACAGGATAAGAAAGCTAGAGGTAGACCAATTTAACATGATCTTATATGATTGGAAAAAGATTTCACTAATTGCGAGAACTGTTTGAGGGCCTGTGCTTCTTCAGCAATGCTGGACTTCATTAGACTTTCTGGTGAGGGTAGCACTGGACCGAAGGGGTGACGAAAAGGATTCAGTGGTAGTTGGAAATAATGAACCCTTAGTCATTCATTGTACGTGTGTGAGGGACTGGATGGCGGGGACCTGGATGCAAAAGTTTGCTTTCTGATGCTTCTTCTTACTCGGAGACTTCAAAAGTGGAACATTTATGTAGAAGTGCAATTATAATCTTTCAGGAAAACCACAGTAAGATCAATGGAGGAGTACGATCCCAGTGGGTTACTTAATAAGGCTTTTCCTCATCTTCTTTATCGCCTGCCACATCATAACTGTTGACCATGTGGTTTTGGTGCCTATTTCATGATAGTGTAGTGTAGTTCCACATCTTCTCAAGTAGTGTAGTTCCCTGGAGCTACCATGTCAGATGGACTTTTTTCTACACCATTTTATACCTATAATAATAGGAATACCTGATATACAGTGTTCGTGGCATAAGCCAAGTTTCCTGGCATTCTTTATCTTTATTATTTGCAGTTTGTTCCAAATATATGTTAAGATTTCAACAACAGATTTTGGACTTGATAATATTGCATACAGGGAGCTTTTTATCAAGTTACTTCTGGGAGTGTGGAGCATTTAAATAAGCTATTTCTGAGATTGAAGACAGGGATTTCAAATAAGTGGAATTGATAATGTCCTGACGCAGTTTCTCTAAAAAATTTCATTCCAACTTAGCCTATTATATGCTCACTTTTATGACCTTTTGCTTTTATCTCTTGAGAACTGTAAGTCAACACAGCTGGTTGAATTTGATAGGATGTGGGTCAGAAGATCATGTCATTTGTGCAACAGAGCAAACGTGAAATTTGTATTATGTCAGCTTCTGGTTCGGTCTCTATTGCATGTCTACATCAGCCAGCATCATCTGGAGGCAGTGTTACATATGAGGTAGATACTTTATAAAACTGTTTTAACCAACATTAAACTCTTCAAGGAGAAGCAATACATAAATTTCATGCTACTTGCATGTATCTGGAGCTACGTAGTGTTAGGTATCTTCATGCACACTCTAGTTTTTCCTCCCAAGTTGATTATGAATCCAAGATCAAAGGTAGCACCTGAAATTTAAAGTAAATATAGATATAGTTTTACTACAGTGCAAGGTTTACCCCTTGATATTGAAAATTGATGGTTAATTAGTCATGAATTTGAAACATGTGAGAGTTCAGCTTGTTAGAAGATAGTAGTATCTGGATTATTATGACAGCTTATTTTGACTTTTGGATGGCATCCGGAAGTGCGTGACATGACTATATAGTATATATTCATATTTGGTTGCCAGAAGGGGTTTTGGAAATAGAATTCCTTGGATGACCCATCCTTGTATGACTTCTCCAATAATTTTTATTCTTCGGATAAAATTTGTAATTCTAACAAAATCTCATGTGGCAATGGGACCCACCCGAAAATAAATTCTTGTTGTGATCCTTATGTTACATCATTAAAATAATTAACAAATTAAGTGAGATAAGAAATTGACCAGGTAAGTATTAAAATCAATGCACATATTATAATGAGGTATTGAGGCTGCATTATATACTAGAAAAGGTGGGGGTAGGATGAATTGTTGATCCCTCTGAACAAAGCATATTGTGGTTTAGTGTGAAGCATTCTGCACATGGTTGACAGGTAGTAATAATAGATGATTACCAGAAAGACCCTTCTTTCACTTCAAGCTCGCACACTCACCAAAACCACAACATTGTTTTTACCATTTAGTTGTGATGACTCTGATGCTAAAACAACAATTTTTGTTAATGACTTCTTAGTTTCAATAATGATTGTTAACTATCAAACATTTTTTTTCTGTTTCCGTCCTTTTCACATCCTCTCATGTGACAAGTTTCTAGACTCTTTTCATGGAAGAACAGTGATTCTTTTTGTGAGTTATCCTAGCAAAAGCTAGAGTAAATTCTTTGTTTGATTTGTGCTCTTAATTCTACAAGAATTAGCTTGATGTTATCCGGTTGTGTTAATAACCAAATAATTATGATAAGCATGGGGAGACCAATTAAGTCTTGATCCTTTTGCACCTTTGTTATGCTCATTATAATTAAATTGTAAGGGAAAATGGCACCATTAGTCTCTAACCTATTGCCCTAGTAGCAAGTCATTGCCTAACTTTTTATAGTTGCATAGTCAGTAGCCAATGACGAAACCGTCCAAATCTTTGTTAAATCGGTATGTGCCTACTGCATGTCTGCTGTTATGAAGCTAGGTTTTGCTTCCCAACTTGGTCTGGCGTTTGGAAATTTGAAGTGAGACATTTCCATGACCACCTGATAATTAAATGAAGATTTGGACAATTCCTGTCACTGTGGACTGATTTTGCACTATGATGAAAGGTACGGGATCAACTTGGTCCTCTTTAAAAGTTGGAGGTCAATGGTGCAATTTTCCCTTAATTTTTTTGAAGGTAGATCAGTTCTTGATGCAACAGTTCCTAGGAAACATTTGTGTTACAAAGTTATTATATAATATAGACATAATTCAGATTTCCAGTCAAGCATATTCAATTAGCTATAATGTGGTTCTGCATTACTTTTCCCATGTATGGATTGACATAATTAATGGAAGATTACTAAAACACAATGTTATCTACTTTATCACTTGCCTAATTACTTGATCATGTTCAGTGAGAAGAATTTTCATCTTGATATATTATAAAGTTGGCTAGTCGAGTAGAAACTCCTATTGTGTCTTACATGTTTCTCCACCATCAAGGTACAACTATAATATGGTAGTCTATTCTCAGGGGCTATTTGACATCCTTTCTTTATCTGGATCTTACACGTGCACTGAACTTGGAGGGAGAACTGGAGGACTTAGGGCATGTCTATCTAGCGTTGATGGCCATATCATTGGTGGTGGAGTTGGTGGACCCCTTACCGCTGCAGGACCGATTCAGGTAATATTTGTACAGTGAGAAATAAGATCTTTTGTTAATTCTGCTTTCTATTATTTTTTTGTGCATGTGTGTATATTTGGATAAATCAAAGCGAGTTTGGTGGTGGTAGAATATGCAATGAATTGAGAAATCTTTTGCAAGTGATGATTTTGCATGACATTGGTGCATATAGATAGATGCTCTATCTAAAATCTGTGTATCAACTATTTTTGTTTCCTCTTTGCCATACTGGTATGCACTCCTTTCTATTTTATATGGACAGGCAAATAAGAACTTTGGACCTCCGTAATTTATTTTGCACGGTAAAATGATTATCTGCCAAGCCACTGCATAGTTTGGCTTAGATATCAAGAATTCTGTTGGATGAGGAATCCTGCAGGGTTTCAGCTTATTTTATTGCACCTGTGGATTGATGGATTTGTAGTTTCAATTGTTAATATAAGATGGGACGTTAATTAATTGTTAATAACAAAATGCATAGTTGACAAGCCTCAAAAATGTTTTATATTTACCAAATGTAGAGGATCTTTTATAGACCTGCAGTAGTTTTCTACCATTGAAAGCAAAGGAAAATAGAGGTTTCTTCTATGATATGTCATATGCTTACTGTCTAATAGAAGGTAGTACGCGTATAGTGTGGATAGAAAAGGAGAAGTCTCTTACATATGATTGAGAAATAAGCCTCTCTCTGGCTCTCTCGCTCTCTAGATGCCAATGTGCAAATGGGTGCCATTAACGTTATCTTCTTTCTTTGGACTTTGACTGTAATTAGTAATCAAACTCCTTCTTGTGTGTATAATCCAAATCCAATTAGCTTTCCCTAACTTACGTACTAATGACTACATAGGTTCTATCTGATTTCATTTTATTTCCTCTCCAAAAGAGGATAGTTGTATACAATTGAGATTTTTTTTTTCAGAAATTGGATGCAAATACTAATTCATGATCCGGCATGTATAGAATGGAAACTTCATTCTTGACTCTTAAAGAGATTTTTTATGAAAGCCTTTCATTTGCTTCTCTTTGATGGAAGTTTGATTTTCCCTGAATTATGTATGATGGGTTAGATAATATCAATGGCTTATTAGTTAATGGCATCAACAGGTAATTGTTGGTACCTTCCTAGTAGACACGAAGAAGGATGTTACTGGCAAGCCACTGTCACCAATTGGTGGGGCATCCGCGTCTAGTCTGACCTTCCGTTCACCTGTTGATTCTCCTCATCAAACTGTTGTTGGAAGTCAATACATGATACAGCACCAGAGCATGCAATTAACACCTTCACATGTGATGGAATGGAGAGATGCCCACCAATCTCCTGAGAATAGCGACTATGATCCCGTTCCAGAATAGAAGAATATGCTAGAATTTCACTCATGTTGTACATTTCTAAGTCACGGGTTTTTTTAGGAGCAAAAAGGTTTTAACAATATCTGTATTTCATCACCTAATTGTACAGGTGTACAGGATATTTGAAATCTTTCATTCAGACCTATTGCCAATACTAAGTAGCAGCAAACATGTATTTACTTTTCAGGATATTGTGCACTGATCTGGTAGATTATTGATATATACTACCTTAAAAATTTCTCCGTTAATCTTGGCTCCTTATTTCTCTAATTCTGCCAGCAATTTCGCCTATATCTGTTCTATGCACGTCGATGAGATTTTTTTTAAAACGTGATTTATTAAAATATGGGGGAACGTACATGAGAGAAGCATTTGGAATTGTCTTGCTGATTTGCATTATTGTAGTCTGTTTTAACATTTTTTACATTCTATTTCTCTGTAAGCCTTGGCCTCTTTAGGAGTTTGCAGCTGAAAGTTGAAGGAAGAATTGTTTTTTGGTTATCCTGTAATTTTTTGACAAAACAAAATCTTCAGGGCGTTCGAATTTAAAGTCTTATTAAAACTGAAGGGGAAAAAAAAAAAATTATTTCCCGTCCACACGAGTGAGTAATGTTATTCATAAGCAGTCCAAGTGACAATGAAGTCACTTGTGATAAGAGAACGAGCCTCCATGAGAATACAAGAAATCTACTCAAGGTTTCAGTGTCCTCTCCTCTCATTTTCGAACATGGAGTATGTCTTGAAAATTTGTATAAAGTATGTACTACGAAAATAAGAGGCATGTCCGTATATTGTTTTGTGGGTTGACCTAGTCAGGGCAATGAGACCGAGTAGTAAATTACATTGCCAACCGCCGTAGGGTACTTCCTTAACGGTCAAGATTGCGATGTCAAGCTTAGTCTCCATCAATTTTCAAATTTATTCATCCACTGCCCACAACTAAATTCCTCTTTATGTAACATGCATGCACGTGCATGTTTCATTTATTTAAATATTTTTTTGAAACCCTTCATTTATATAAAATAAGTAGATTTAATATTAGCACCTACAACATAAAATTGTCCGTTCTATTACAGGATCACAAGGTACATTGGTACTCACTGATTTTAGAGACGTCACAATTTTTTATTTTCCTGAAATAGAAGAAGATTTCAAAAGTACTATATCTGAAATTTTAGGATGCAATATTTTTACTTCAGGAATTCTAACTTCTAACACTAATGCCATCTACTTATGAAAGGTTGTGGAGTTCGAAAATGATTGCAAGTATTGGATTTTCCACAGCCTACTGTTGGGGGGGACAAGAAGAAAGAAAAATTGAGTTTTGGCACATGTACACCCTCGTTTTTCCTAGGGCAAGACATGGTCCCAAAAGTTTCGGGGTATTTAATAAATGAAACCGTCGGGTCCAAATATAATTATGGAATCGTTCGGGTTCGGTTCCGTTCGATTCGGTTCGATTCCATACCATAATTAATTTTTTTAACATTTACAGCAACACTATATAAATACAATTAATTACATGTTCATTCGTAGCTTCAATGAGCGATTGGAGAGGGAAAGTCGGACTCGGCAGTCGGCGGCTTCGATTTGGGCATGTAGATGTAGGATTTCAATTTATCAAATGATTTTGGGTTAGTAGACATGTTCTTATCGAATGAAAGTATGAAATTGGAAAGGGAAGGATAAAAACTTAAAAATATCTATATCATGGGCTAACAATGAAATTAATAATTGGACCAAAAAATTAAAACAAAAAATTGAATGGGAAAATTAGGCGTGGTACCCCAATATTTGGACAAATTAGATATTTTCCACAGCCTACTGTTGGGGGGACAAGAAGATAGAAAAATTGAGTTTTGGCACATGTACACCCTCGTTTTTCCTAGGGCAAGACATGGTCCCAAAAGTTTCGGGGTATTTAATAAATAGAACCGTCGGGTCCAAATATAATTATGGAATCGTTCGGGTTCGGTTCCGTTCGATTCGGTTCGGTTCCATGCCATAATTAATTTTTTTAACATTTACAGCAACACTATATAAATACAATTAATTACATGTTCATTCGTAGCTTCAATGAGCGATTGGAGAGAGAAAGTCGGACTCGGCAGTCGGCGGCTTTGATTTGGGCATGTAGATGTAGGATTTCAATTTATCAAATGATTTTGGGTTAGTGGACATGTTCTTATCGAATGAAAGTATGAAATTGGAAAGGGAAGGATAAAAACTTAAAAATATCTATATCTTGGGCTAACAATGAAATTAATAATTGGACCAAAAAATTAAAACAAAAAATTGAATGGGAAAATTAGGCCTGGCACCCCAATATTTGGACAAATTAGATTTATACCTTAAACTAAATTAAAAATTAACTAAAATAAATTATAACAGTAATTAATACGCTCTCTTCTCCCTAAACCTCAACCTAAGGCCCAATAGCGTCTCTTTCAAACACTCTTCGTCTCTCAAGCACTCCCTGTTTTGGCCGTCGATTTCATCTTCATCTTCGTCCGTTTTCGCCGATTTCATCTTCGTGCCCGTCCTTTTTCCATCTTCTATTTCTCTATTCGTGGATATCTCTTTAAAATTCCTAAGCGTTCCTCCACAAACAAAATCAAATGTAAATGTTACAATTCCAACAGAATTTTTCATGCAGAAAACCCAATTTCTTTCATGTCCGAATCCTTTTCCTTATGATATCAAACATATATTGATTCAACCATTGTCGTGGACCTGAATTGATGAATTCTTGGAGGACCATTTTGTCTGATAGATTGGAATAGTGAAAAAGAATTCATATTCACGAATTTATTGGGAAAAAGATTTAGTGTATCCATGGTGTTTGTAGAATGTCCTCGAAGAAGAATACTGTGTATATGTGTAATTAGAAAAAAAGGTAGGACAATACCTTTTGGGTATTTCAGGTAACAAAAAGAAGACAACTAAGGGATGGAAGAAAATTAAAGTTTCTTATTATTCTGATTTCTGGGTTTTTACGAACAAGTCAAATCCACAAAAGCCCAGTTGGAAATTTTGTTCTTTGAAAAAGAAATAAGACTAATAGATTCTGAAAACAGAAATAGGAGAATGCAGAATATGAATATCAATTTATTAGTAGACAAAATGTAGAAATATGACCTTTTGTTTTAAAGGAAAAAGAAAGTGTTCTCTTCTCAAAACCTCATTATGAATACAGGGCAAAGCATCGAATTTTGAAGAGAATAAAGTGCGGGCAGAGGTGTTTGTAGAATGTCCGGAAAGAGGAATAATGTGTTTTATAGTTTATGTTTCTTTTTTATATTTATTTTCACCAATAAATCTGCTGAGGTTCATGAAAAAAGTGAGATGTTTTGGAAGTACTACGAAGATGTTTAACTTGGACTTTAGAAAAATTACAAGGTATTCGCCAAGCCTCAACCGGGCAAATAATAACTCAATTGTGTTACACCAACATGAAAATTGTCAATTTGTCACTTTTTTGAATTTGTGTCACTTTTTTTTAGTGTTCATCACTTTTTATTAAATTTTTTCTCACTTTTTAATGTTTGTTACTTTTTTTTGTCAATTCTTCGAAAGTTCTATCACTTTTTTGAATGACAAACATCATTTTTGTAATTGTTACGAGCCTTCTGAGACCCTCCACCTCATCCATCCATCTCATCCGCCACGTGTTGGCCGAACGACATGTTGTGCCACATGGCAGACGAACTGAATACGTGGCGGGCAAACTGAAACGCTGTTGCTCCTCCCCAAAGAAGAATTGAACCCATCCGCCCTTCACGATGGATGCAAAGGCCTGCACTTCGCACCTTGCACTTCACGATCCTCCTTGTCGCGCCCTTGCCAAGATCTTTTAGGAGATCTCCAAGGTCAAGTCCTTGATGGGACGTGTGACAGGTCACAAACGGTCAATTCACGCTGACATGTCAGAAACCATTTAATGTCCGCTAACCTATGGATTGACGGATTGACGGCTATGAGATGACGACTCATACAAGATCCGAAGACACGTGCCCCTTTATCCAACAGTCCACCTCTCCCCTTTACTAGTATAAATACCCCCACACTGGTAAGAGTAAGGGGATTCGAACTTTTGTGAGCTTTTCACCTTAACTCTCAGCATATATTTAACTTCCCGTTTCGTCGAAACATTGATTTGACCGTCGGAGTGCTCGCGGCCGCCTCCAACACCACCGGAAAAGGCCACAGGGAGAAGCTGACGTGAAGACTTATCCTGTTGGCCACGAGTTCGAGCCATTGTTCTAGGTCTATCGATCATCAATTTCTAATGAATGCCATGTTTTGCAATTTTTAATATTCTACAATCTTAGTTTCATCTATATTTGTTCACAGTCGATCTCAAATTCGAGTGTTTAATTGACTGATCTTTAATTATTGTATAAACAAGACAAGACTTTAGATATTCAACGTTTGATTCAGCTTAAAATTGGAATTAAAATTAAAGTCAAAGTCAACGGTTAACTATAATCACATATTTTATATGATTCACTGCTGAAATTTTAAACTTTATAAAACTAGAAAACTAATTACTTAATTTTCAAGATCTTCCATGTCAAATCATCAAGAACATTAATAATGTGAACCATACCTTAATTCTTGGAGAATAATTCTTTAATAATGGATCTTGATTTCGGATCTTAAATCTTGATTATTGACTCTTTTGGTTTTTGAGCTCTTGATCTTGATTTTGACTTTTTGCTCCATAATTTTGATTGTCTTGTTTTTCAATTTAATTGCTCTAACCCTTCTTCTTGATTCTTATTTTTTAATCTAAATTCTTGGTTATAGGTTTCTTGATATTCCTTTTCAATAAACTTTCTTTTGCATTCTTTTATTGATGGGATGACACAAAAAATGAACAAGACAAGACTTTAGATATTCAATGTTTGATTTAGCTTAAAATTGGAATTAAAATTAAAGTCAAAGTCAACGATTAACTATAATCACATATTTTATATGATTCACTGCTGAAACTTTAAACTTTATAAAACTAGAAAACTAATTACTTAATTTTCAAGATCTTCCATGTCAAATCATCAAGAACATTAATAATGTGAACCATACCTGAATTCTTGGAGAATAATTCTTTAATAATGGATCTTGATTTCGGATCTTAAATCTTGATTATTGACTCTTTTGGTTTTTGAGTTCTTGATCTTGATTTTGACTTTTTGCTCCATAATTTTGATTGTCTTGTTTTTCAATTTAATTGCTCTAATCCTTCTTCTTGATTCTTATTTTTTAATCTAAATTCTTGGTTATAGGTTTCTTGATATTCCTTTCCAATATACTTTCTTTTGCATTCCTTTATTGATGGGATGACGCAAAAAATGAGAAGTGACATATGAATTGAGAATCATAACCCTATTTATAATTTCCATATGTATTTCGCACATTATCAAATACAACCATAATGGATCTGGTCTCTATACATATAATCAGGTCCACACTTTATTTAGATGTCATAAGCCTAACAATTTAATTCTTTATTAGACCATTTTAATTGGGCTCAACTTTAAGATAACCTTATACACAATTTACTACATATGTATAAGCACATGACAAATTAATAAGAGGCAATTACATAAATCCAAGTAATTAAAGATTGCTTTTTTAAAAATCAGGTGCAAAATTTATTTATTCAAAAATCAGGTAATATAAAAACCCTAACCCTAATCCCCAAACAAAACCTAAATCTATTCTCTCATCCTCCTCTTCGATTATCGTCACACTCTCTCTACCCTCTCCCTCTCCCTCACAGCCGTCGCCATTGAGGAGCGCCCGTCGCTGGAGAGTCGAGCAGCGGTGACCAACCTCACGCAGATCTCCCTCACCGCCATGTGAGATTCCAACCTCGCGCAGATCTCTCTAATTTCTTGGACGAACTGTGTGAGTGGAAATGGCAGGGCCTTGAATCTCACCTGCCAGACTTGTTATCCATCCACTCTGGTTTCACACCGACGCAGATCTCTTTAATTTTTGGAAAGAAATGTTATCCGGCCACTCTGGTTTCACACCGGCGTCGTGATTTCTGGTGGTGTTTTTGTGCTGTGGTGTTGTTCGAAGATATTTGGAGCGATGTGTGGTTTTCATGCTGATGTGGTTTTCAGCAGTGGCGGAGTGGAGGTGTGGTGGTGGTGTTGCGTTGGGCTGCAGTGGGGGTGTTGATGCTGGTTGTAGTGGTGGTGGTGTTGCGTCGGGCTGCGGTGTGTGGTTGGATGCGGTGGTGGGTGGGTGGGTGCGGTGCTATTGACGGCCTGGTGGCGGCAACATCGGTGTGTGTGGTGTTGTGATGTTATTGTTGGTGGTGGTGTGTGGTTGGATGCGATGGTGGTGGGTATGTGTACTGTGGTATTGACGACGTAGTGACGTTACTGCCGGTGCCAGTGTGGTGTTGTGATGTTATTGTTGGTGGTGGTGATAGTTGGAGTGGTGGTGTCGTGGTCGCGGTGGCAAAGGCGAAGGCGGGATGAAGAGTGTTTGTGACCACTATTTGGTTGATTTGTGACCAAGCGTTGGTGGTGAATCGGGATTGAGATTGAGTTTTTGGTGTATGTGACCTATTATTTGTTTATCTGTGACTAATTGTTAAATCGTGACCTTAAAATCTAATAATTTGTGACTAAAAAAATAATTTGTGACCAAAAATTTGAACACATGCGATCGATACATAAACTGTGACTTATAAATTTTTCGATTCGTGATCAATCAAATAAACTGTGACCTGTAAAATTTTTGATTTGTGACATCGAAATAATCCGTGACCAATTAATTTGATAATATGTGACCAATAAAAAAGTTGTGACATACAATTATATATCTGTACTTTATTATATTTAATTAATAAAAATATTTTAATTAATAAATAAATACCTATTTTTGCATTTTAAAACTTAAAACCTGACAATTGAATTGGTGATACTTAACATCTGATTTATGATTTTTTTCCCTTTTAATAAACCCAACATTCGCAACTTTTAAACTACAAACTCTTATCATTTTTTATCAAAATCTAATAAAAATTCAATTGTTATCTAAATGACTTAAACATATTATGCTTTTTTTTTTTTTGTAGGGATTAAAATTATTTTTGTTAATAAATTGTGATAAAAATTGATGAAATATATGATTAAAAAATTATTAATCCCATAAAATATATTTTTAAAATTAATTGTTAAGCATAATAAAAATTTTAAAACTTTCTTTTAAGGAGAAGCATGCATAATAGTGACCGAAACAAAATGTCCAAGTTCTCTTCACTTAGTGCGTGTTAGACGAGGAAGATTTTTAGTAGATTTATGATATAAAATTTTGAAATGTATAATTGAAAAACAGTGTTAATATTGATTCTCGGACCCCACCTCCGACCCCAGCATCTTCAAACCCGCAAACCACCCAAGATTCGCCATTTTTGTAGCCTGTAACTCTATAGCAGTATCGTCAATTTCCCAACTTCGTATATTTGCATATCTACTCTATTTCTGTATAAAATCTGAAATGCAACTGTAGTTTTCTGGGCTTCTTCTCATTGGAATTTTCTGTTATTGTTTTCATTCAGTCAGTGATTTTTGTAGTTGACTAAACGTTTTTTTGGTGTTTTCTGCAAGTGGGTTGGTAGCAATTTTTGTAATTGGAAAAACGTCTAATCTTGTTGTATGATGCTGTTTTGATCGGTGTAATTAGGTGTATTGAGATTAGAAGGGTTAATCGTTGTGTTCCATTATTTTGATGCAATTTGTCAACTTGGTGGAAGTGATTGATTATTGTCAATATTTTCGGAAGTTGGGTGCAGCAAGAAGGTTAAGATAGTCTTTTTCGAATATAGAAAAATAAAAGAACATAGAAAAACAGGAGATGGTTCTTTGGTTCATGAATATTTTATCTCTTCATCGAGAATTTAGCTCTTTTCTGCATCTAGATTAGAGCAAGTGAATCTTGAATTTTGTTGTGATTAGAAAATTAAAGTGTTTACTTTGCTTTTTGCGCAGGTATTTATCAAGAATATGGAGGAAGATATAAGAAATCGTTAGGGAAGGAAAAATATTTATGATGAAAGTATATATGAGTAGTTGGTCAACTGGGAATCTGGGATCTTGAGAAGTGGAGGTTTACTAGATCTAGAACTATGGTAGAATGGTTTGGGTATTATTTTGTTATTTTATATCATCAATAGATGTGTGTTTGCAGAGAAAATCACATTCAAACCTGGGGTTTGGGGTTTAATTTCAATTGATTGGGGTTTTCTAAATTGAATTTGATACATTGATGGATTGAGAAAAAAGTAGTCTCCGTGTCTGCAATGTTAAAGCTGGTAGTTCTACAATTGTCTATTGCCTTGATTATTGTCTCAGCATTTGCAGTCGATATTGAATTCTCCAACTGCAACTGTGACGACGATGGATTTTGGAGTCTCAATCATATTCTTGATTGCCAGAAAGCGAGTGATTTCTTTATTGCAATTGCCTATTTTTCTATTCCAATCGAGTTGCTTTACTTTCTTAGCTGCTCGAATGTTCCATTCAAATGGGTGCTTCTCCAATTTGTTGCATTTATAGTCCTCTGTGGGTTGACTCATCTGCTCAATGGCTGGACATACTATGGTCCTCCTTCTTTCCAGTTGATGATGGCGCTTACGGTGGCAAAAATTTTGACTGCCCTTGTCTCTTTTGCAACTGCAATTACCCTCCTGACTCTGATCCCTCTTCTTCTCAAAATAAAAGTTAGGGAACTCTTCTTGAGGCAAAATGTGTTGGAACGTGATCAAGAGGTTGGGATGATGAAGAAACAGACAGAGGCGAGCATGCATGTCCGGATGCTTACCCAAGAAATTAGGAAGTCGCTTGATAAGGACACAATACTATACACGACTCTTGTTGAGCTTTCCAAAACCTTGGATTTGCAGAATTGTGCAGTTTGGATGCTGAATGAGAATGGAATGGAGATGGACTTGACCTATCAGTTGAGTGCAACTTTGAGAGAGCATCATAGGATGCCAATGAGTTCAATTTCCATAAATGACCCGGATGTGTTGGAGATCATAAAAAACGAAAGAGTGAGATTTTTGAGACAAGAATCGGTTTTGGGAGCTGCAAGCTGTGGTGGGAGTACTGAGACGGGTGCTATTGCAGCAATTAGGATGCCGATGCTTCGTGCTTCTAATTTCAAAGGTGGGACACCGGAGTTTGTTGATACTCGTTATGCCATATTAGTTTTGATTCTTCCAAGTACAAACGATAGAGTTTGGAGCAACGATGAAATGCAGATAGTAGAAGTGGTTGCTGATCAGGTGGCTGTTGCTCTGTCCCATGCTGCAATTCTTGAGGAGTCTCAGTCAATGAGGGAGAAACTGGAAGAGCAAAATCGGGTTTTTCAGCAAGCTAAAATGAATGCAATGATGGCAAACCAGGCAAGGGATGCTTTTCAAAGAGTGATGAGCAATGGGATGAGGCGCCCACTTCATTCAATATCGGGCTTACTAGCCATATTTCAAGACGAGAATAAGAGATCTGAACAGGGGATCATTGTCGACACAGTGCTTAAAACTAGTAATGTTCTCTCGACTTTAATAAATGATGCAATGGAGATATCTGCCAAAGATGATGTTAGATTTCCATTAGAGATGAGACCCTTTCGGCTGCATTCTATGATCAGAGAAGCTTCGTGTCTTGTTAAGTGTTTGTGTGTTTACAAAGGCTTTGGTTTCTCCACAGATCTTCCTAATTCTTTGCCTAATGAGGTCATGGGTGATGAGAGGAGGACATTTCAGGTATTGCTGCATATGGTTGGGCATTTATTGAATGTCAGTGATGGAAAAGGGTTAGTCATATTCCGGGCTGTTGAGGATGGTGGAACTGAGGGCAGGGATGACAATTTGTGGGCAGCAAAAAGACCAAGCACTACTGATGAGTATGTGAGCATGAAATTTGAAATTGAAGTTAACGTTGAAGGTTTTCGATTGGAAAGCTCGACATCTACAAATTATTTAGCTGGCAGGAGGAAAAACTACAAAGAAATAAAACAGGGACTGAGCTTCAGCATGTGCAAAAAGCTTGTGCAGGTGAGGATTCTGAATTTTTGCCGTCATCAATTTCTATTACTTGGGTTTAATTAGTTTTTTGTGAACAACTGTTGCACAATTACTCCTAAAATTTGAATTAGTGCTACTGGGTGAGCGTGTTTTCATCGGAACTCCAGATAGTTTTAATATTATATACACAGAATTCTACGTGCCATCCTACGTAGTTTATGTCTTCTCCTTTCCTGGATGCTAATTTTAGTTGAGTTTCTTTACAGCATGCCATTATTGGTCGTTGATGCTTTTTGCTATATTTTTGTTGATAAGTTTGATACATGAATGCAATCTGAAACAAATGAAATCATTTGCACATTGGGAAATATGAGTGAAGTCATAAACTCTATTAATATATGGTATAGAGTTGAAAATATAATTTTTCTTTCAATTTTTTGTGGGTTGATGGGAAAAACCTGCCAGTTTTGTCCTAATACCATACATTTTTCCGTTAGTTCTTGATGATTGTGCCAAGAGTTACATCGTTCCTACTAGGGAGTGTGGGCGATAGGTGAAAGATAAGAGTGTGCCAAGGGTTAAATCACTACAAGGGATTGAAGGTGATCGGTGGAAGATGCTTGACCACACATGTGAGGAGATTTTTGCAGGAAAGGGTAAAAAGGAATGTGGACCATATGGTTTTCTAATAATCTTGGTAGCATCTTTTGTTTTGTATATAAATGGCAAGAGCCAGAGTTTTTTTTGAGCATTCTAGGATGGTTCTAGTGCAGCATAAGAATCAACCTGCAACTTGTTACCCTTCCTGCTTCATTAATTTAGAGTTTTCAAGATTCGTCAAGCACCTTAGACAGTACTTTAAACCTCGTGTGCTCCTTACAATATCTTCTAAAATTTAAGACAGTACATGAACTGTATTTTATATTCCGCCAAGTTCAACTTTATTCTCCAACAGGCCCACAATTGAATTACCTTGATTTAATATCTCTGAAAGAATTTCTAGGCTTGTGAAAACAGATTATGCTTTCAGAAGCATATTAAGGAGGTGGGCATCTCGTTACTATTGTAATATTTTCTACTTGACACAATCTCTGACAAAGTGTTATCTTGTTTTAATAAGCTGGCTTTGATCGTGGAAACTAGATTCATTGCTAAATGCGCTTATATGTTATCTTTTAAATTCTTTTTTCATCCTTCATGTAAAAACAAGCACATTGAGAAAATTTGTTATCTAACCTTTGGTGAACATAAGATCTAGTCACTTTAATCAAGCTTTGACATGTGAATGGTGTGATGATTGGTTGCTTTTTTAAAATCCTGTGGGATGTCTTTTTTAGTGCTTGTGTAAAAATGAGCTCCTTTAGTACGTCTGTTAACTAGATCATTGACAAACACATGATTTAATTACATATTTAGCTGTGCATGTTATGGGTGGAAGTGAGGAATGGTCACATTTTACTAGTCCTGCTGAATTGCTTTTATTTCCTTTGCAAGTTTTGATAATGTCCGGTTCTGGGGATGCATAGTAGCTTTGCTATCAAATCTTGAACTTCGCTTGCACAAGAGGGATTCTATTATCCATACGCTTCGCTTAAATGCCAAAATAATGTGTCATGAGCCCAATGTCACCATTTAAACTCAGGATCTTGGTTATTCTTGGTTTACCAGGTTGATGTTATATTGTTTTTGGCATTGACATGGAAGAGTCCTTAAATTACGAGGGAAGTTCTAATGTTTATTTTGTTCAAATCTTAGTGCTTCAAAATCCTTGGGTGATTAGGCTAAAACAACGTTAACTTGGGATGCTGGTAGCTTTAGAAGGGCGGTTCTCAAGGATAGGATTGACAAAATGGTGGTATTGAGTTTGGTCTCCTATGTGCTCGTCACTTGGATTGCTAGATATTTTACATCTGCCACAAACCTGATGCGTCCAAATTTCTGCTTATTACCTGTTTCTTTTCTTTCTTTTTCCGTCTTTTTGAAGTCTAACAGGCTGAAAGGGAAAAACATAATTGAGGGCGGAAAATATGAAGTGAAGGTGGATATTAGTTTGATACTGGCTTTGAGTTTCTTTGAAGATTAGAACAAATTAAGAAACACGTATACACATTTATGTCAAAGGAGATTAACAAGGGAATTATGATGAATTTAAATTTGTTGTGGCTGTGCATGTGCTAGTAGTATAGAAGACGTAGAAATCTTTGTATTGGAGATCTTACTAAGTTTACACTTTAGATACCTTTTTAAGGGAAAGAAATTAGAATTTATTGTGAAGGATTTTCTGAGATTTGATTTATTCTCTTATCTAGAAGTGATTGATTTGCATTAGGAATTTATAATGTAAAACATTAAACAAAGGGATGGCATATACATGCCAGTAAACCCCAAATGTGTATGGGTTGAGCTCACGATCCCACAATTGAGAAATTCAAAGACAAGAAACGAGCACTTGTCTTGGCCTAGAATCCAAAAGAAAACTTGCCTTGTCCAAAGATCCAACAACGCATTACGAAAGCAAGCACATTGATATAAGATAACTTCATATACAATTCAAGTTTGCAAGATCAAAATACCGATTACCCAAATTTTCAACAAGCCTCCCTTTATGGCCTGTCACATGGTTTAGCTCTGTAACGATCCGGGTCCCACTTAATGGGCTGTCCCGACCGTTAGATCGACGACGTATTATCCCCACTGTACCAACATGAGCTTTTTCAACATGCTTTGTCCTCACTCGCACGCTCTCCGAGAAAACTTTTCAGGAGGGTCACCCATCATAGAATTGCTCCAAGCCAAGCAAGCTTAACTGTGGAGTTTCTAACGATGGACTTCCGGAAAAGAAGGTGCACCTTATTGGTGGTATGAGTAGTACCTATCAAATCTTTTAAGCTTTCCTGGTCTGGGTATTACAATCACCCCCCGTTAGACTCGCGACATCCTCGTCGCGCTTGACCCATCTGAGGATTTGTTGCCAGGCGTTGGGATTCTAGAGGTGGCTCCTACGGGTTCAAGAGGTGGCTCTCGCCCTTGACGTAGCACTTTGTCCTGCATAGCACTTAGTTCTCGATTTCCGGCGGCAACCGAGCTCTGATACCATTTGTAACGACCCGGGTCCCACTTAATGGGCTGTCCCGGCCGTTAGATCGACGACGTATTGTCCCCACTGTACCAACATGAGTCTTTTCAACATCTTTTGTCCTCACTCGCACGCTTCCCACCTCCCATGGGGTCACCCATCATAGAATTTCTCCAAGACAAGCACGCTTAACTGTAGAGTTTCTAACGATGGACTTCCGAAAAAGAAGGTGCACCTTGTTGGTATGAGTAGTACCTATCAAATCTTTTAAGCTTTCCTGATCTGGGTATTACAAGCTCACTTCATGCTATACCACATTAAGTTTCCTTATTCTTTGCCCTGGAAGGGAGAGGTTGTGAGAGTATAAATTTTACAGTCCAAATTACTACTGGAGGATAGGAATCGTGTTTGGACTTGTATAGATCTGTAGGACACTGGTACAGTCAATGTTTGGTGAGAAATTGTGTTTGGACTGTTCTACTTAATAAACACTATACATTTCTAAGTAACAATTAGGGTCCGTTTGATTGTAAGGATGGAAAATGGGTGGAAAGAAAATGAATTACAGGGAAAGTAATTGCCTAGAACTTGTTTTCCAGGGAATTGTTAATTAAGTGTGTTTGATTGATATTTTTTTCCACTTGGAAAATGTTAAAATTTTCCATCTTTTGATGTTTGATTAATTTTATTTTCCATGGAAATTTATTTTTTTAGTGCATGTGATATAAATTAAAAACTCGAAACGAGAGATTAAATAATTACCAACACGGTAAAAGATTATTTAGCAGGATCAAATCAATGCTAACTTCTAGATTTTACATGGCTACAAGGAAGATTATTTATCCCAGTCTCAAAATTAACAAGAAGAAAAGGCAAAAGAAAAAAAAATCATGCCCACTCTGCATCAGCCTCTCCGTCGCCGCCTCCTCCCTACCAAATTTCACCACCAAAATTCCACTCTGCATCAGCCTCTTCGCCCCCGCCTTGTCCCTACCAAATTTCCAATTCTCACACTTTAATTTCAAGCCAAGAAATTCCACTTCTTGAAACCATTGTCTTCATTATTCATAAGGGGGAAATGGCGAAGGGACTGATGGTGAAACCAGTGGTGGTGGTGGTGATGAAGGGAGCAATACTGCAGTTAAAGGAACCATCTTAGCTGGTCTTTTGCTCGTGGGTGCGGTTGGAGGATTTGGTTCTTTGGGTCACATTTATAAGGATCAAATCAATGCTTTTTTGACCCAGTTTTCAGGGTTCATAAGGTAAATCCGGTGTGGAAATCACGTGGTTTGTCCGGCGGCAACGAGAATGAATTTGGAGCAGAAGTACCGGTGTAGTGGATGAATTTGGTTGCAATTCTCACTTGCCAAGAAAACAAAAAACCTGATGAAACATGGGAAAACCAATTCAAGGATTGTGTGGAAAAGAGGGTCACATGCAAGAAAAGTGGAAAATGTTTTGCCTGGAAAATTTATCTTATCAAACAGCAAAATAGTTGGAAAATGGTGGAAGTTTTCCATCTTCCATGGAATTTATTGCCTATCAAACAGGGCCTTAGGTCAGTGTTAAAGATCGTAACTGATTAGTTAATAACCCAGCACTTTTTAAACCTTCTCCTTGTATAGCCAGATATATAATCGGTGTATATTGTTGCTCTCAATTAGGTTTCACACGCTTGAAAACTATTTGACAATATCTCGTTTCTTTTCACGGAATAGCATTTAAGAAATCATTTTACCTGCATGTGACCAAAATTGAAGTATACGAGCCTTAACATCCGTCTTGTACGATCGAACTGTACAAGCCTTTGGCTGTAGGAGCAGGGAATCTAATCTTCAAAATAACTTATCCCTGTTGATTTCTAGTTTATCATTGTATAAATGTATAGTACTTATCTGTATTGAAGTATCTCAATGTTATCCATGTTGATTTCTAGTTTATCATGTCACTATTCCATTTTCGAAATTTCCATGCAAGTTGAATCTATTTTACGAACTTCATTGCTACTATTGTTTAACCTGATCGTGTTGTGGTGCAAAAATTTCTGCAGATGATGCAAGGTAATATCTGGATGTCCTCAAATTCAGAGGGACGTGTGCATAGTATGAGTTTTACTCTCAGAATCCAGAAGCAGTCTTCTTTTAGAAGACACGTGTTTGAACTTGGGAATTCCGAGCAACAGGTCTCTAACTCGAAGCTGAGGGGACTTAGGGTAATATTAGCTGATGATGATGATATAAATAGAATGGTTAGTAAAAAGCTGCTGGAGAAACTAGGCTGCCAATTAACTACCGTTTCATCTGGTTTCGAGTGCCTGAGCGCTCTGGGGCCATCTGCCACTTCTTTCCAGGTTGTCATTTTGGATCTACACATGCCAGAAATGGACGGGTTTGAAGTTGCTTTGAGAATCCGCAAGTTTTGCAGCCGTAATTGGCCGTTAATCATAGCCATGTCAGCGAGTGCAGAGGAGCATATATTGGAAAAATGCTTACAAGCCGGCATGAATGGCCTTATTCGAAAACCCGTTCTTCTCCAAGGAATGGCTGACGAGCTCAGGAGGGTCCTGCAAAGATCAGGTGAAGGGCTGTGAAAGAATGCTAATCAAAATCTTCAGATTAAACTTGTAGAAAATTCAATTGGAAATCAACTGTTAATGATTTTTCTAACCAACTACTCTCATTAATATTCAGGTAATTAATTAGCTTTACATCAAAATTATGCCATTTGAACAGTCAGTGGTAAGTTATTGTCTACTTGGTTGTTCCACTAAAATCTGATCATCTCTGTTTGAATTATTATGATAACTAAAATTAATTTTAATTAATCACCTTCAGAAAATGGTTTCAACATATTGTGATAGGGTAAAAGACCTGAATGGTCCCCCAAACCAAACTCTACATTATGTGCAAAAAAAGGGTTCTCATATTACAAATTCGTTTCTTAACTTTAAGTCGTGAATCTTGTTACTCTATGTTTGATGCACATTTTTTAGAGGAGAATGTATTTTTTTTGATTTGATGTGATGTGATGGGGAATATGTGGTTGAAAAAAAAGATGTGATGGAAAATATTATTTTATTGAAGAATGTGTGGTTGAAAATGAGTAGAAGAATGATAATGAAAATGAGAATGTGACCCAAACAAGGGCTTAAAAAGAAAAGAGATGATATTTCTATCGAGGGGGGCTACCGAATTGTGTCCCCCATCTCACATGATTTGCGGATCCCGTGCGCATTAAAAAATGTTGTGCTGAGGCCCCACCCCCTGATGTGAGAGGGGGGACACTATTCGGTAATTCTCCCTCGATACATGTAGCACGGCCCTAAAATGAATTTCATCCAAATATGAAACTTGGGTTTGGGTCTAATAATTCTCGGAAATTATATGTTTGAAGTAGCTCATTTTCGTCCTCGATTTTTCATTTCTCATAAATTGATTTCAATCAATTGAGTATACTATGGTAATCCTCTCGTGAATTAGACCACGTTCAGTCTTCAAACTTCCATAATCAATTAACGAGTCCCGCAAGTTTCGCTTGTAAGGGGATACTACTACAGCCTTACCTTATAGTTCTCAATTTCTAATAGATGCATGAATAATTTTGACGAGTACACGACTTTCAAAGAAAAACATTCAGAATTGGTGCACATTTGGCCAAACTTAAAGAAACTTCTAATAAGTTTCATTACAAGTAAATAAGTATAGCCTATGTTTGATTCATGTTTATAAATACTCAAATCCCTTTTTATACACATATTTAAAAATTCACCTATCCATCATTTTTTATATTTATTTATAACTTAAATCGTTTTAAACACTTCCTCAACATGCTTAATGTACGGACCATCTTCAAAGCATCGAGGGCTTGTTTAATTGAAAGAATAATGTTAAGTGTACATTCTATGGTTTACATCTTTTTTGACATCCTTTGTGTTTTCAAAAAAAATTGGACGGAAAAATAGTTTTTTTAAACTGGCAAATGATGTGTTGTCACATGACACAATGTAAATAATGATATCAAATATGATGTATATGTAACATGATTGTAGTTGAAATGAGGGGAATGGATCTACATGATAATAATGATGAGTTGTGGAGCCTTATTATTGTTGATTCATTGTAAATTTTGATTTTACCTAATTTTTCTTATAAATGGACATTCGTCATTAGACTTTTAAATTGTCATCATAAAAGGGAGAAATAGATGTTAGAGAAGATATGCGTGTCATTTTCTCTTGTAAACTTCTCTCATCATAGTGAATTATTGTAGTGACAGAAAATAACATAGTTCACATTACTTTATAAATTTTGTATCTCTTTATTTTTTTTGCTAATTGATTGCTCTTAGTAGAATATAATTATGCTTTCTAATTCTCAACAATTGATATAAGAGCTTTTAGTTTTGATTGAGAGCAATGATGGCGAAGAAGGAACATCAATTGGAATTTGTAAGTTTGATTGTATGGATTTTGCGTTCTAGAGAATGCATATTGATGATTATTTGTACCATAAAAAATTGGATCAGCCCCTTTTGAATGTGAAATCGGAAGGAATGAAGGACGATAAGTGGAAACTCCTTGATTGTCAAGTGTTGGGTGCTATCCGATTAACACCGTCAAAAAACTTTGGTCACAATGTGGCAACAAAGAAAACCAAGATAGATTTGATGAAGGTATTGTCCGATATATCTGATAATTAATCCGCATGTAATAAGCTACACCAGATGAGAAAATCATTTAATTTGAAGATTGTTGAATGTCGTCCAACATAAAACCTTCAATAAATTGAATACTGTTATCAATCAGTTGATTTTAAATTTGATGATGAGGTATGTGCTCGAATCTTATTGGCATCACTACCGAATAGTTGGGAGTCTATGAGAGTTACGGTCAATAACTTTATAATTGGCAGCATGTTTCAACACTACAAGGTGTGTTCTGATAGTAAGTCTCCTTCCCCAAAAGCACGACTCTAGTTCTTTTAGATCTGATAGTGGTGATTGAGTGGCGATGATAATGGTGACAATGAGACGGTGGTGATGGTAATTTAAAAAAAAAATGTGTGTGTTTTTTTTTAAGATCTAATCTATAAAAAAAACCTTTTAGGTGATTAGTTGGTGGTAGGTGTCTTCGGTGGTGGTAGGGTAACAGTAATGGTGGTGACGGTGATGGTATATATATATTATAAATCATGTATAGGGGTTGGTGATGGTAGCTGTTGGTAGTGATGTGGCCGCTATGATGGTGCTACTTTTTAAAAAGAACTATACACGTTATAACATCATGACATATTACAATTTTAAAGAAATTATGTATATTGTAATATAGTTAAATTTAAATCAACATAAAGTGTAATTTATAATAACTAAACTTATTAAATGTAGGATTTCCCAAATTTTACTACTTAAAAATTTTATACATGTCAAAAAATTAAATACATTATGATAAAAAAAAACATTTAATTAATTAGATATTTTAAAAGCTAGACCAAAACAACACATGATATTTCAACCGATGAACTTCTTGTATTGCTCTATAGACAAAATGAGGACCATGGTAAAAGTAAAAAATCTATCCATTTGATTCTATATTTGCTCGAAAAAATTCTTAGCCAATTGCCAAACCAAAACATCCTTGGATAGATAGTATAGAGCATCCTGCGACTAGTAATGAAAAGACTATTTTAGCCTAGCATCTTCTTGAAATATATCAAGATTTCTTATCGTATGTGAGTCACATTATCATTAGTTTATCAAAAAATTATCACATCACGATCATTTAAAAAATAAAATAAACACGATGAGATGACGTTTGCAATTTAAACATAGAATTTAAGATTCTACAAATATACGTTATCATTGACATTTGACGTTTTTTATTATTTGCCTTTCCAATCTCACAACATGCCAATAATATATTTGGTAAGGTAAATCGAAAAATAATAATCAAAATAATAAAACTAAGTAATAATTTTTTCATTAATTATATCATTTAATAATATTTTCCTATGATAATTGAGGATTCGGGTGAAAAGAGGAATTCTATATAGGTGTGTGGTGAAATTTATGTCGATGGCATGAAAAACATGGAGATTGTCCCGGGATCTTTTTGGCAAAAATATTCGACACGAGCTAATTCTTGAAATTTGTTATTCTAAATGATTATACTATTTACTGCGGAGCATATTAAGCCCCTGTTTGTTTCCAATTTTAATGAAAATTTGTACTATTGCAATCCGAAATAGCCGCTTTTGTCGATCAATTTGTCTCACAGTGGAACCCATTTGGTTGAAAAAATCAATTCTTCTGTTAAAATAATGGGAAACAAACGGGTTCTAAATCTCTGTTTTGAGAAATCTGATAGTTGGAATTTAACAAATTTTCTCTCAAATGTAGTATCAAAAGCTGCAGAAGAGACGTCGAAGCTTTGACTCGTTTTTTTATGTTTAAGATGATGTTGGGAAAATTCCAAAAAAGAGCCAAAATAAAAAAAGTACTTTTCTTTTTTCATGCAGGAATATATGCCAAAAGTCTAAAAATTGGAAAAGAAAGAAAATATGGCAGAATATTGCAACCGACCATTACTTGATTTGGTCTTGTATGTAGGACATGATATAGAGAAAAAATAGCTCTAACATTCAAAGAATTTTCCTGTTCTATTTGTGGTTTATACAAGGAATCGAACATTGTGAGTGGGGTAAATTGCGTGCGGTATTTTTCTTACTATTTGTATGAATGAGAAATTCTATATGATTATTCCCAACATGGCAAACCTTGAAAAAAAAAAAGGTTAATTAGTTTTATTTTTTCATTCAAGTTAATTTCCAAAAATAAGAGTTTATACTGAAAGGTTAATAAACTTATTTTCAGAATACCTAAAAAAGAATTACTTAAAAAAAGCTTAGCCAAAAATTCTCTAGTTTTCGAAAATAATGCATCAATTGTTTAGCTGCTATTTGGTTTCACTAAAAATCATACTTTTCGTAGATTTCGATAAAATTTGATGAAATGTGTAATTGAGAAGTTGATAAAAATGATGGATTTAAATTTTTAATTAAAATTAATTGTTGACTTTGATTTAATTTTTTTAGTTAAACCAAAGATGAACTTAGTGCCTGTTTGTCAACCATTATTGAGAAGAAAATGGTGTAATGAATAGTATTTTTTGGAAAATGTGTGGTTGAAATTGAAAGAAACTTTATCGGTTTATGTGTAGAATATTTTATTATTTGAATGTGTGGTAGAGATTGATTACTGTAGAAAATAATTTTTTGAAAAATGGTAGACAAACAGGGGCTTAATGCATTCACTAATTTATTCTTGCTGTAGAAGGCTGAAGAGGTCCTATGAATACAAAGAACAACACTAGTAGTTGAAGAGTTAAATAATACTAAAGTTTTTTATTTCAACGTTTATCTCAATAATCCATAAAACTTGCTGGCCATTGTTGTCGATAGAAAATGGCTCTAAGGAAAAACAATGAAGTGATCGTTCGCATGGATGATGACTTTGGAAGTTGTCATTTTGCAACTTCTAAGCTGACTATTTTCACATTTTATATTATATAATTGATTAGGTATTACCTGCTTTTCG